GGCCGGCAGCGTTGAACAACAACAACAAACAACGGAAACAACAACAACAACATCAAACAGCCTAACATCTATGTTGAGGATGGTGCTTTTCGTTGAGGATGAAACGCACGCGGAAATGTTTCCAGTAACTGCGAAATTATTTTTCGACAGAAACGTTTGTGTAGTAGAGGGGAGCACCCCGCGGCGATTAGCTCTTGGTGGTGCCACCGGGGATGCCGTCTTGATCGAGCCGGTATTATACTCGAATATTCCATGCACGTATGTGTGTTCCTTCTTCTTAGCAACAACAAGAACATCATAGTTTATTACGGTGAATACGTGCGCAGTAGTTAGGAGTAGAAATACATACTCGAGTATAGGTTGTGTCCTCTGTGGCGGTGGATTTGTACTACGACATACTAGAGTACTAATAATACAGAGTATTCTCGTCGTCTCCGTCTTGCGCTTGATGTTATTGTGCCTCTTCTTTTTGTTCTCCTTCAAGTGTCATTCTACTACTACCCCTACTCCTACTACTACTACTAATAATAATAATAATCGGTTGAACGGGGCTAGATAGATAAAAATTGTTCTTTCATCATATCGCGTGGTCGCAGGCTTCCTCCTCCTCCTCCTGCTGCTGCTGCTGTGTAACAACGGGCGGAATTCCAACTCTATCTAGTTGTGTAGTAGTGGAAGAGCCCCTGCCCCCACGAACGAATACTAACCCGAAGACCAAGCTGCACGAAAACTACCACACGCAGCAACAACAACGGCCAAACCGACGGACAGACAGGCTGAGACAGACATTTGATATTCTTCGTTTCAAGTTCCTCCAAACGAAATCTCACGCTCGCTTGTTAAAAGATATAGGCAAAAAACAAATAGAAAGGGGTATCCTCACATCCAATCTTCATTCACGTTAAAAACTACGTGTTTGCAGCTGTGTTTGACTTCATCAATCAATCGAGAATCCCCCCGCTCCTCCTCCGTCTTCCTGGACCCACCCCGCCCCGTGTTCGTCCGGCCATGAACCTCCATCCATTCAGTCGAACCTCCCCGGCCCCTTACCCCCGCCGTCCGACCATGACACCCCATTCCCGCTCCCCTTCTTAGACATCTCTGTCGTATTCGTCGTCGTAATCCTCTTCCTCGCCCTCTTCTTGCCCTTGATGGTCGTCGTCGCCTTCCTCATCCCCTTCCTCATCCTCTTTCTCTTCTTCCTCAGCCTCGTCACTTTCGTCGGACGAAGAACCACCCGCCCCGTTTCGAAACTTACGACCTTTCCCACGCCCTCCACCCGTGGCCCTTACGGGGCGCTTGCGCTTTCTGCCTGCCGCAGGTGGGGAGTCCGAGTCCGATTCCCGCACTTCAAACCCTTGAGACCGCACCACAGCAAACCCCGGGAGAACGTTGAGCGGTGATCTCGGGTCGGTCTTCGACCTGGCTCGGAATACCCTCCCGATCACGGGCGTGGCGAAAGCTTGTCCCTCCACTTGGGAAAAAGGGCCAAGTACTTCAGCGCGACTCCCGGATTGTGGCACCTTTGACGTAAACTCGACGGTCGCCTGCTTCACGTCATTCGTCCAGCGCATGTAGTACAAGGGGCACGTGGGTGCCACGCGCAAGTAGAGCTCTGCGCCGGGCCCACAAACCTCCTTCCCGGGAACAAGCATGCGCTTGAGTTGGACGTTGTTGGCCACATGAAGCAACCGGACGCGCTGGTCTTCTCGTTCGTCAACACTGAGAGAACGGAAGGCCTCTGGCCTGGAGTTGAAGACTTCCAACTGGCCCCACGCCGGAAGGTCGTGCGAGTTTACGTGGTAGTCCATGTCCCGCCGCGGCAGCAAAAGCGCTTCCGAGGAACCCGACGGCCAGCCTTCTGGCGACTGAGTGTGTTGAAGAGGAAGCCAACGGGAAAGAACGGGGGTGGCGGGAGGGAGGGAGTGCGGTTGTTTTATGATCTTGTTTGAACATTTCGGGTATCGTTCGAAAGGTATGTTTCGCGAGTTTTTCAAGCTACGTGCGCGGCCAGCAATAAAAGACTCAATTCACCACAACCGAACGCAAGAAGTATCCAAGCGCACATACCTCGAGGCTATAGCCGAATTCCTTCGCCAAGGTGGTCGCAACGCGGAAGGAAGCCTCGGCTTCTCCCATGGCGGGTCCCTCTTGATTCATAGTCGAGTCAACGAAACGTCGTACCTCACGGGGGATGACGTTTGCCTCCGATCCCAAGGGCAGACACGAAGGGCTGATCACACGCTCTTGCGCGAGGGACGTGGATGCCTGTAGGATCAGTCAGGTGCATCATCGTCACAACACCCTACCACTCGGTAAGTGCTGTTGAACAACATTCGTATGGGCAGGCCAGCTGCGGCCGGTAGGGTTTTTTGGCGAAGCGGTAGGGAAAATACGCGTTTCAAGCCCACAATGATATCGCGCTCCAGCGTGGGTACACGCAGTCGCGCAACGTACCATAGTATCGCACATCACCATGCGGAAAAAACAAGGAAAAATAAACAGCAACGAAATGCAGCTCACGCGTTTTTGTGCAACCACCATGCATCCAAATATGGGACGAACTAATAACAACGGCAACCAGTCTTTTTCTGCTACAACAACAACCTTCATCATCACCTGAAACACCAACACTACCGATACCGCGCTGACGGAACATGAACACAAACATAGTACACGCTGCTCGGAGCAGGAGCGGGACTGTATGACGAGACTGTATACAGTTTTCTGCCGAGGACCAACGTCACCAACACGCCCTTTAGTGGAAGTGGGGGAGAACCGGTAGTACAGCTGTAGTACTGAGAGTAGTACTGTAGCTTACGCGTACTATTCCTTGAGTGTGGTATGGAGAGCTGTACTGAACGAAGTGTTGTTTTGAGTACATTCAGCGTTGCAAGCTGTACTAAACGTACTATTGCGCTTAGAGTACAGTACCGACAGCCGCACTAAACCCATAGTACAGCACAATACTGAACGCTATTCTAAATGTACTATTGCGCTTAGAACAGTACGAGCCGTACTAAACCCCAAGTACAGTACAGTATTGTGGGTCAAATGCTGTAGTATGTCCAGTACAGTACCGGCCGAAAACCCCTACTAAACCCCCAGTACAGTACGGTGTGGAGACCCTTAGCGCAATAGTACACATAGTACAGCAGTGTCCGTTGCTGTACTAAACGTACTGTTTATTGGGCTTCGTACAGTACCGAGAGCCGTACTAACCCCCCAGTACTACAGTACAGTACGGCCCTGTACTTGCTGAAATACTGGAAAGTACGTTTAGTACGTACTAGACTAGAGGGAACGTTTGAGAGCAGGATCGAGGAACAGCCGATCATAGAACAGGACCAACAGCACGCGGCGAGCCGACCCATGAACGTGAACGCAGCTGATGATCCATGTATAGAGAATGATTTTTTGTCGGATTTTGTCCGCCGCTCCACTGCGATAAGCCTTCTCCAATTATAGTATGATTGTGTATGTTGTCGTACACAGGAAGAGACTGCTTCTCGCCCACTCCGTCACTCGCTTCCTTCTGCCGTGTTGTCGCGGTTCTGCGACTAAATTGTTCAGGAGTTCTACCAAGAATTTCTCAACGAGCTTGAACGGGTCCATCCGGGGGATCGTTCGAAAATTACAAGCAGGCATTACTGCTACCGAATTCTTCGAGCGGAGAGACGGAATGTCCGTGTGAAGAGCGGAGGGGACTTCATGAAATGTGACGTGTGTGTCACGTCGAAGGAAGTAATAGGGGCTGTTTCGGGGGGTGCCCAGCCCACTCACGACCCCGAGACCCGCCTCGCCACCCGCCAGAAACTGGCGAAACACCGACAGGTGCGTTGCCAGTTTACATGTGTATGTCGTGGGACGGGGTCGATCTTCTTCATTCAATTAATTTGGTTCAGACCTGTCTGTGACTATGCGACCTTGTACGCGGTCTGCCGTGCCTTGGGTGCTTGCACATGTGTAAGCGAAGACAAAGGGTACACATGGTGTTCATTCTTGTTCACGATTGCACATACATGTTCTTGTCTCAGGAAGTCCAAAAGGATCGGCTGGAGATCGCGAAAAAAACCGCTGCTGCCATGCGGGCCAAAGCGGACGGCAAGCCCCTTGACTACATGTTCGTGGCTTTTGACGCGGCGAACCAGACGTCCCACTCCCTCCCGACCTTATTTCCACCTACCCACGGCAGTGACAGGTAGTAAGCACACGCGAGCACGGCTGTAATATGTTGTAGGCATACGCGTGCAGGTTGTTGCACATAATAGAGTAACAGCCCTGGTCAGCAGCGTTCTAGAGAAACCCCGTTCCTTGTGGGTAGCTTTGGATGGTACCGAAGGGGAATGCCCTTCCCAGTTTCCATTCACGTCTGTCTCCTTATACGTACACACCCCGCTTCTTTCATTTTGGTGGTATAATACCGTGGTGGCACAAATGCGCTCAGTTTCCCTTCACGCCTGTCCCGTTGTACGTCCACCTGTTCTGTGAGTCCACCCCGCTGACCTCAATGGCCGCCGATACTCGTTGCACTTCCTACGTACTTGACAGGGGCTACCCCGAGCGCCAGAAAATCATGGCAGCAAACGTGGAAGGCCAGTTCGTGGATGTGTACTTCACCCCGCAGTGCCTTGGCGGAGGTATCTTTCGTTGGGGTTTTGGCACAGAAGGTACCTGTAATAGCTCGGAGACCCCGCAGGATATATATATATGAGTCGGCGCAAGAACAAATACGGTACGCATTGATGACGACGCGTCTCCGACGGGGTGGATGTGGTATGCGTGTGTCAAAGGATGGACAATTGGACATTTCCCCAAACAAGACTGACTATCGATTGAGAGTATTCGCAAGTACTGACACGGCGCCGTCGTTCGTACAGGTTGTAATCGTTCCTGCACGGCGGCTCACCTCGCCATCACACGCCTCCTCGACATGCACGACAAGGGCAGCCGCCATCCTTCGGGGTACCTCATTCAGCACGCGCATTGGCAGGTGAGTCGCTCCATCATGTCCTCCTCATACATGGGTCGCAGGTGCATGCTAGCGGGTTCAATGATTTGGGTTGATAGCATGGAATTGCTACATTTCGAGCAGGTCATGCGATTCATGATGAACAACATATTCGCCTGATTGAGAGCGTAGCATCTGATTGAGAGCGAGATTGCGCGATACGCTGTAGCCGGACTACCACTGAGAGGTGGAGCTTGCTGTGTAGCTTGAATTGAAGGGCTAGCCCGTAGCTTCAAGCCGCTACCCTGGTCATCCTGTGGGAGTCTCTCGNAGGTTGTAATCGTTCCTGCACGGCGGCTCACCTCGCCATCACACGCCTCCTCGACATGCACGACAAGGGCAGCCGCCATCCTTCGGGGTACCTCATTCAGCACGCGCATTGGCAGGTGAGTCGCTCCATCATGTCCTCCTCATACATGGGTCGCAGGTGCATGCTAGCGGGTTCAATGATTTGGGTTGATAGCATGGAATTGCTATATTTCGAGCAGGTCATGCGATTCATGATGATGAGCTGCAAGATAGTAGTGTTTGTCGGCATATAGTCCTGTTTGGCATGAAAATGTGGTGAAAACCCTGCCCTGCGGCGCATCGTTGCAAAGACTGTGTCCATGTGCTTCCCTTTCTTGTACTCGCCGCAGGTAGACAACTGCGCCTCCGAGAACAAGAACAACTTCTTCCTCGGCTTTGCGGGTTTGTTGGTGGCGACCAGCGTCATCCGCGTGGTGGAGATCAACTTCATGATGGTTGGCCACACTCACATGAAGATCGATCAAATATTCTCGAGGTGAGTGGGGTGACCATCCGCGTACTCTGTTCTACCCCAACAAAAAAAATATTCTACCACATATTCCAGTTGTTTTTTCCCGCTCTCTTTCTCCTTCCTGATTGAGGAGGTTTGTGGCGATGAAGCAAGTGCAGCTGGGCACAACAAGCAAAGGCTATGTGCATGCTTCCCTTTTTATCTGTTCGTGTATATCAAAACATATGATATCTCAACCTAAAGAAGCCGGCGTCATCGTCGCACATAATGTTGAGCGCATTTTTCCGCTGCCAGCCGCAAACATGTCACCGAGCATCCCCCCAGAAGACAACCCAATTACAGCTGCGCTTCTTTCACGGGACGCCGCCCGTTCGTCCAACACCTACATACAGTGGTTTGGCACAAAACTGGAAATGAAATTTCCTGAGAACACTTGTGCCCCGTTGCACTGCTCGTGTCTTCAGGTTCTCCCGCGGCATCAAAGGGAAGAGCATCTTCACGAGGACCCAACTAGCTGAAGTGCTTCAGGCGTCCTACACGGAGGTCCCAGTCTTCTGCAGCACCCTGGGGAACGAGGGCAACTTCAACGGACTCCTTCAGGGCCGCGTCAATCGTGTCCCAGACATCACGACCTACAGGGCTTTCCGCGTTGAAAAAGGCGGTGATGGGCGGGTGAAGGTTCGGGTGAAGCATCACATGCACGGCACCGAATGGAAAGGGATTGGCAGAAACGGCGATGTCGACCCAAACGCCCCTCCTCACGACCTGTTCATCGGCCATCCGCCTCGCATCCAAGATGCTCCTCCCTACGAGCTCAAGGAAGTGTCCGATGAGATCATCCGCAAGGTGGAGCAGCGTTACCTGGCATCGCACGAAAGCCTGGCTGCAACGTACCCACTAGGTGAGTCCATCACGTCGCGGGGGATTCAACGATTTATGCGCGGGTGGTGGGCGGTGAGAATCGGTAGTTTGCAACTCCGTGCAAGGCGGCAACGTGAGGCAGACAGAGAGGGAAGTTTTGAGGTAAGCCTTGCATGGCGACAGTTTCTTAACGAGAGACGAGACCACAAAAAGCAAAAAATACAGGTTCTACAACAGCACTTCGATCATTCGTGCCATGCGCACGGCACAGAGAGGGTGGGTTTATCATTTATGGGGATATCTCTCGGGTCCGGGGCATCTTGTTGCCGTTTTGCTCTGAGATGCGCCGCGCGTTCTGCCTCCGCAAAGCCGCAGCCAAAGACGTTCATAAGATGCAACGAACACCACTGCTTTGCTTACCAGCGAACGATCCACGTGGACGGGGTCCAAACTCTAAAAAGGAACCATACGCCAAANAAAGACGTTCATAAGATGCAACGGACACCACTGCTTTGCTTACCAGCGAACGATCCACGTGGACGGGGTCCAAACTCTAAAAAGGAACCATACGCCAAATCATTGTTTCGGCTGAAGATTCCTACCTTCGGATGGAGCCTAAATACCTAACGTAATCAACCTTTATTCCATGCCCACAGACTGTCCTGGGGTGCTCATTCCCGCTGGTGGCAATGGCCGCTCGATCTTTCTCTGTTGTCGACGCTCTACGCCCATGCCCCCATCCATCTTCCCAGACGACGCAGGCGCGCAAAGAGCAAAGAACGAACAGATGGATTCCGTGCGGCGTCTCAAGGAGACGGGGCTGCGAGAATTCGACCTTCCAGTACACTGGCTTCCTGACGACTACGGCGGAGCAGAAGCTGGTGTCCGCAACGGCAATGATATCGAAGAGGAAGACGGTTCGGGGGGTCCCGGTGATCGTGGTGGGGGCGACGAAACGGATGCGTCAGACAGTGACGCGGAGGAAGCTGACTGCTTTCGAAGGGGTCGTTCTCGTGCCATCGGAAGGTCGGCCAATGATCGGGACGTCGTTAGTGTCGAGGAGGGAAGTTTCGCCTTCTTCGTGGCGAGGGGGGCTCCGTTCTTGGTTGGTAGGATAGCTGCGGAGAGCGTTGACCGTGACGGAACGCGGGGTGTGGATCTGCACTGGTTTCGCCCGACCAACGACCACACGCGCGATAAAGCCGCGTCCCTGACGCTTGACGAGTATGGCGAAAGAACCTTCGTTGAAGGATACGTCATGACCGCTAGTGACGGCACTCGGCGAAGTGGGAAAGCAAAAAAGGTGAAGGATGTCAGCTGGGAACCCGTAGAAGGAATTGTTGCGACGTGCGACAAACTTGTTGGGAACGGCAGAAAGATTCCAAACAGGGTTTTGAAGGTGCTAAGGTCTGTTGTGGGGGACGACAGAGGTAGTGCGAGCAGTGGGCGAGAAGTACAGGGGCGGCAGGGAGAGGAGGGGAGGATGGGGGGTGGGATTGGTGAGGTTGTACGCCCCGCCATCATGGAGGACGAGAACGAGACTGGGGAACAACAGCCGGAGAACGAGTCCGAGAGCGCTGAGCACGATCAAGAGATGGGGCGCGTTGTGACGAGTAGACCAGGGGGGGATGGTGGTGGGGAAGAGGGAGGAGGATCGTCCACCGGTGCAGGGGCAAGAGACGAGTCCCTGCAGGGAGCCGTGGAAGAGCCCGCCCTTGACGCGGACAGAGGAAGTGGCAGTGCAGGGGTGCGGAAGAGACCGCACTCAGACACGCAGCTTACCCAGCGAAACACTCGAGTTCGGTTGACGGCTGCACACTTTCGGCCCCGTAGTTGATAGAAGTGTGAGTGAAGTTTCGGTATCCCCGCCATATTGTTTGTTTTCAATCAAGCATGTATGTATGTGATTACCTATGATCTTCTTCTTCTTCTGGCGCCATTGATTGAATGCGCTGATTGATGATGATGATAGCACTGTGGTCGTACCCCGAGGTGTGGACGAGACCATGACTGGATGGAGGAGGGAGCCACATCACGTGCGGAGTAAAATTGTTATGTGGAATGTGCAGAGGTGATGACAAGAAATCTCCCCAACAACGATGAATCATGCTCATGAATTAATACAAAAGTGATGCTCCCGGGACCAAAGTGAAAAATGAAGAAAGCAGGTCGATCGAGGCTTTTCGTTCACGACAGGCAGCACGTCGTTTGGAGCACAATAAACTCCGTATGTAAGTATATGGTTTGTGCTCAGTCAGTTCTCTCCGCTTTCTGCTTCCTGCTGCTGCTTGCTGCTGCTGCTTCTTCTTGCTCTATTATGAATCATGTCATTCTTCTTCCCGTCTGCACTCATCATCGTACACGCAGCGCCAGATGCATATCCTGTACAGACGCAGAGTACCTCTTGGCCCGAACATTTAACCACAAGAGCATTTCCGAGAAAAAATATTTTTGC